GCACACATCTAGCATCACAATTCAGGCAGCTCTGTTTTCCCTCTTCAAAAAAATCCCTTCTGAAATCATGTGGCTTGGAGTTCAACGCCAGCTCCTCCTGCTGGTAAGGGAAAGTGGTTTTTACTTCTCCATGCTCCATTGTCTTTGAACTGGAGATGGAAGACAGCACTGCCCTGTACCAGTGTAAGTCAGCATAAAATAGAGGAGATAATTGCAGCTCATGTTTATTGTGCTATTAGACTGTTCATGATAGCCAAGCTATTGATTCCAGAATCCAGCCAGGTGAGAAGCAGCTGATGAATGGATAAAGAAAATGTGGTTTAGAAATATAAGGGAGTAGTATTCAGCCATAAGGAAGAATGCAATTTTGTCATTAAGGTTAGTTGTTTTTAAAGGCAGACTGAGGAGGACAGGTATCAGATTTTTCTCTCATGTGCAGAATCTAGAATGAGATATATGACATAAAAGCCAAAAAGGGAACTGATGGGGGTGATCAAAGTATATTCTGTGCATATGTCAAAACAGAATAATGCAGTTAAGATTGTAGAAGGGGCTGGGAATGTGGCTCAATGGTAGCATGCTAGCCTTGAGCAAGAAAAAGCAGCTCAGGGACAGTGCCCAGGCCCTGAGTTTGAGCCCCAGGATTGAGGGAAAAAAAGATTGGAGAAAAACGTGAAGAAGAGAGTATAAGAAAGTAACAGAAGGAGGGGCTGGGAAGGGGGCTCAGTGGTAGAGCGCTTGCCTTGCCTGCATGAGGCCCTGGGTTCGATTCCTCAGCACCACATAAGCAGAAAAACAAATACCCCCCCCCCCTAAGAAAGTAACAGAAGGAGTGAATAGATCAAAGAGCAATATATACATGCATACAAATATCACAGCAGACCCCTTTGTGCTAGTAATAAAAAAAAATTCTTGCCACAAAAATAGCACTGCCTGCCCGGATTCTCTGTTTTTAAGTATTTTGCTCTAGTACCCACAGCCATATGGCTTATTAGGTTGAACTGCTTGTTTTTTTGCTTACTAATAAATTTTAAACTATAAATAGTATATCCTAGATAATATTATACATATGCATGGAGTATAATGTAATGTGCATACACTATTAGCATGGTGTTATGATTAGCAGGCAGTTGACACACTTTTTGTGTGTCAATTCTGGAGATGCAGTTCTCAGTAAAGAATTCTTCATCCTAGTGTCTTACATTTAACAAAATCTTCATCCGTTAAGCAAATATTCACAAAATTTTGTTTCTTTTATAGTTGCATATATCCTGTTTGTTATAACCTTCGAGAAAAATTCAGGCACATTTGTTTGCCTTTTTTTGCCATTAACCTGATCTCATACATGTGTCTATCTGGTCATTTTTTTTTGCTATAATTGTTACTATTTGAGCATATTTGAAACATGGGTCATTTCTTCATCCATAATTCTAAACTTAACTCTCCTGTTCAGGTGCACGCCATGGACTCCACATGGTTTGCGTGCATCTCCAGGAGTTTGTTCTCTAAATGACCATGTTGGGAAGTGGTGGAAGGACTAGAGCCCCACAGGAGCTAATCGGGTCACTGAGAGCTCTGCAGTCAGGAGCAACGAATGCCGAGTCCTCTGCAGCCCTGGGTCATTCTCATGAATGGGCTGTCTCAACAGAAAGAGCTGCCCTTCCGTGGGCACTCCCTCTGGTGACGCCGTCCCTCCATTCCACATGCACTCTCGCCACCGGGCCGCCATCTGCCACGAGCCCTGTGTGGGGCTGTGTGGATGCTGGCACTGCAGCCCTGAACGCCCCACACTAGGAGCCAAGCAAAAGTCTTTTCTCTGGAAAGTGCCCCTTGCCAGACATTTTGTTTTAGTAATGGAAAATGGACTAATGCAAGAAAAAAAAAAACATTAGTGCTAAGAAGTGGGGTCTTTGCTGTAACTTTAACTGAAAGTGTAAAATGGCTTTGAAACTGGCAGGCAGATGTGGGGAGAGCTTAAGCCTCTAGAGGAGGGCACCAGCGGCTCACGCCTGTCATCCTAGCTTCTCAGGAGGCTGAGAGCTGAGGATCATGGTTCAAAGCCAGCCTGGGCAGGAAAGTCTGTGAGACTTTTATTTCCAATAACCACTAAAAGTGCTGTAAGTGGAGCCATGGCTCAAATGGTAGAGTACTAGAGTGAAAAACCTCAGGGACTGTACTCAGTCTCTGAGTTCAAGCCCTAGGACTGATGTACAGAGAGAGAAAGAGAAAGAGAGGGAAGGAGGAGGAGGAAGAGGAGGAGGAGGACGATGATGACAATGACAACAACAATGCTAGAAGCAGGGAAAGATGCTGTGTGCAAAGGGATTCTGATGTGGCTCATCAGGCCGTAAGGCTAGAGAACTGGCCCCGGATGGAAAGGGTGGCACTGCTGGAAACTCAAGTGAAAGGCACCAAAGCTGCTGTTACCCTTGTTCCACTGAAAAATCCTGGCTGCGGCCTGGTGTTTTGCCTTGGAGCGGTGTGCAAAGTCTAATTTAAGAGTGCTCACCTGTGGTATTTGATGGAAGCGCCTCTGAGCAGCAAAGCATCATGCTATGACATGACAGCAAAGCATCATGCTGTGACATGACAGCAAAGCATCATGCTGTGACATGACAGCAAAGCATCATGCTGTGACATGACTATTGTTGAATACTTTTAGTTGCACATACGGGGAGCAAAAGGAAAACCTGGCCAGAGAAGGAGAGACAGAAAGTTAAGAGAACGGAGCTGGGAAGGTGGCTCAGTGGTAGAGTGCTTGCCTTGCATGCCTGAGGCCCTGGGTTCAATTCCTCAGCACCACATAAGCAAAAAGAAAAAAGCCGGAAGTGGCGCTGTGGCTCAAGTGGTAGAGCGCTAGCCTTGAGCTGAAGAGCTGAGAGACAGCGGCCAGGCCCAGAGTTCAGGCCCCACGACCGGACCCCAAAAAAAAAAAGTTAAGAGAACAGAATAAGGTCCTAGCTGAGCTTGCGAAGCAAGCCACTAGCACGTAGAAAACATGGCGATGAGGCAAGAGAACTGGGTGAAGGCATCAAGATTGTCTCCGAAGGCTGAGAGGCCACCCTTTCCTTCCTGGGTCTTCGATTTCATCATCAGAGGAATGAGAAAAACACCGAGGATTAAATGATACTAAATTTGCAAAGCAAAACAACAATCCAGTGCCTAGCTCAAGTGGGTGTTAGATAAATTCTGTCCACTATGAGTATGATTGTTGCATAATATTTGTGATCGCTATCATCATGACTACTATTGTCCTAAACACAGGACGTGCCTATTTGACTGTAACTGACACTGACTAAATGTTTCTAAAGTATGAGGATTCTAAGTTGGAAAGCTATCGTAGAATCCAATTAAGGCAAGCATGGTTAATAGCAAAGTATAACTTCCCAATTCTTGTCACCTTGCACCTTGGATTGGGGGTGTAGATTCCTACCTGCTTATAACAGTCATAAACCCCTTATTGCAGGCTTGCTACTTTTCTACTCCTCACAGAAAGGCGTGGTAAAGACTAAATACTGACTTTCTTAGGTAGCTAAAATACCAGTTATTTTCTTCTTGGTCTGATGGATTTTGGGGGGTGGGGGGACAGAATAATGTTGTGTTTAGAAACAGTATTCTCCCCCTACCCCCAAAAAAATTCCTGATTTGTATTATTTTTCCAATTTCTATGGCATACATATTCTCAGTATGACCAGTTGGAAGTTTCTCACATTGGCTCAAGCTAACTCCACGACACCATTAGATCACACTAAAGCACGTGCTTTGACAACACGGGGTAGTGTGGTTGTCAGCAACAACCACATACACAGTCACGTGTGCAACAGCAGCCCCATAAGATCGTATGAAGAAAGTAGTAGTGTGAGAACTGTCTTCATTTCTATAATGTTTGCACAGTAACAAAGGGTTCAGTGAGGCCTGTTCCATTTAGTGAACCTATTCCCATTATGAACTAATGCATACGAGTGCTTTACCTCCAGAATAGACTGTTAGGATATAGTTGGCAAATAGGATTCATCCAAAAAGCGAGTTAATGTCAGATACTTAAGCATTGCATTTTAATGTTTCTGCTTTGAGGCTGTTATTCTCCAATCATACTTAGAAGTCTTTTCTTGGCATCTCGTGCTCCAGGAGAGAAAGTCTGTCTGATCACTTCATACTTACTTACTTATACATACTTACTTCATATTTATAAAGGGAATCACTTCCTTCCTTGTTTCCCTCCTGCCCTTTTTCCTTCTCCTTCTTCCTCTTTCCCACTTTTTTCACAGGTATTTTCTATCATCTTCTTTTGTATTTCTAACAAGCCCAAGAGATCATCCAAAAAATACCCTAAACGAATGGACAAAATCCTTACATTGCTTTGCAGAAATGGTAGCGAAGGCTGGAGTCATAACTCAAGTAGAGTACCAGCCATGAGCAAGCGAGCTGAGCCAGAGCCTGAGCCCCGAGTTCAAACCGCAGTACCAGCAAAATAAGAAAAAAGACTGTACAAAGCTACAGAAACTAGAAACCCTTGCATACATCAACCATGCCATCACTCTCTCATCATTTTGTTGATTTTGAAACTTGACCGCGATCCAGACACCATTACCTTCTTTCCAACCTCTCTCCCCCTTTCCTGACTGTTGCGCAGTCCATCTTATTCCCCCCTCGGTACAGTGCTATAAATATATTGCTGGGAACCTTTAATCAGGCATTGATACTTAAGACTTTCCATCGTAGCCAAGTCCCTGGAGAGCCCAGAGCGGCGCTCTCCGGGGTGGCAGCTGTGTTCTCTGTGGCACTGCAACTAACGCTGTCTTGTCACACACCAGCTTTGCACGCTGGTGATACCCGGGGATGGTGTTTGTCAACCTGGTGGGTTAAAACAACAACCATCACAACAATAACAACAACAGGTCTTCTGGATCGCGACGACGTCTTCGGTTTTCTGCTCGAGAGCCTAATGACTTAAACGGAGTGGGGAAGGAAGATCCTGGCAGACTGACTGGGCATCCGCCATGAGGCTCTCCGCAGACATGCTCGAGATGACGGCCTGCACCATTCTCATCCTCGTCAGCTCCGTGGGAAATACGTGTCTGTTTTATTCGACGAGGCGCTGTGCCACTGGACATCCGCAGACATCGTTTCTTCTCATGTTCAGTCTTATCCTCGTCCACCTTATGAAGAACTTGGTGGTGAACATCATGAAAATCGTGTATTCCTCTGGGATCCCGGTGGACGAAGTCGGCTGCAAAGTCCTCCATTTCACGGCGGCCCTGACCACCTCCTTGGCCATCTGGTTCATGCTGCACTTCGCTTTGTTCTACCTCCGGAAGCTTTACCAAATGGTGCACCCCTCCAGTGAGGTTGTACCCCAGGCCCAGCAGAAACATTCCCTGGTGGGGATTTCTGCCCTCTGGGTGGCTGGTGTGGCTGTATACATCCCCATTTTAATTTATACAAGAAAACCAGAATACCCGAACACGGGAAACGATACAGACAGCTTGTCTATGCCCAGGATTTACATGGATTGCCTGATTCACTTTGGAGACAAGCAGGTAGAGTTTTACTATGGGAAAATATTTCTCGTTCTAGTTGATATTCTTCCTTTAGCCATCCTAGTCTTGGTATGTTTCTGGATGTCTTTCCTCCTCTCAGAGAAAAGGAAGATGACATACGGTGACATCTGGATTGGAGAGGACGACTCAGAAACGGAAGTCCTCCGAGGGGCCAAGTTCAGCGTTGTGTTAATGCTGCTCATCACGCCGCTGTGGGTTTCCCACTTCATCTTAGTGTATTTCTTGAAGGACGTGGCAGCCTGGGTCTGCATCCCAGCCATCCTCACCGCCCTCTCTTCGGGTTTCTCGGCTCTCAGTCCTTTCCTGTTCATGTTGGTTAATTACAAAATGAAGCTGGTGTCTCTCTGTGGTGCCAGACAGGAAAAACCTCCACCACAGCCTGCAGATGCCATTCTTTCTCCATATGCTTGATGGCAGAGAATTTGGTTCTAATTCCGCGAGGATGGGGCTAACGTCTACCCAGCCCTCATCAGTAGCTTCTGAAAGGACTTCTAGGTCATTGACTTCTTTCCAAACTAGACTTCTCAGGGAGATTAGAGAAGAAGATGTGAAAATATTAAGTTGTTGAAAATATTAACTTGAAAAAAAAATTAGTTATCACAGTGTTTGTTATTTAGGATAATACCAAGCTTTTTAATGTAGACATTCTAAGCATAGTATGGATAGGAACTCAACTTAAGAGCACTATACTAAGCAATTTATTCAATGTATTGCTTGGGGAAAAAAGCCAACATATTGTTGAAACTGAGGACAGTGCTTCCTAGGTAAATTCCTCAAGATGCCTTGAACTGTCTTGTGTTCTCATCATTTGTTTTTCTTGATACGTGTCCACACATATCAGAGGCGCTTTCAATAGGTGTGAAGTGTTCAGTGTTTGCCATCTTAATCCCAGCACATCAGATAAGCTGGAAGCACATTTTGCTCAACTGCTTTCCTCTCAGTGTCTTTAGCAAATTTGGACTAGATAAGAGCATTAAAATATTTCCACTTGCTAAATTGTACTCTGTGTGTATGCATAGATGTGCAGATATTTGGTTACTACAGACCCATAGTCCACTAAAATTGCCTAATCACTTACGTGTATATCAAGTAATATCTTCTCACAAGAAAAGTACATTTATTTGATAGAGAACTTATTACTTGTTTTGGCTATCACACTGTATATTCACAAATTATTAAAAAAATTATAAATTCTTACAATAACTTGGTTTCTGGTTAAATTTAATTTAAAAAAGCACATTATAATTCTAATGAAAAACACATAGCCAGGTTATTTTTCACAATCTGCTACCATTCGGACTGCTTTGGATATAGTGAATAATTATTTTAAGTATCTATGCATACATTTATATATGCATTGAATTTTAGCCTAATTCTTATCACACTCTTGTACCTTTTCAATGTCCTTCTAAGGTAATAAACCCAGGATTGATGATACCATAAACCTAGTGAATAGCTCTCTTGAAATTGACATCCTTGCTTTCAAAATGCTGTATCAAAAATTATAAATCTGGATCTCATTTATAGAAAAGATTTAGAATATCCTTGTTGCCATGAAGTACTGCAGAGAAAGGGAAATTTACAATAACTTAATCTCAAATTCTATAGGGTTTTGTGAGCCAACGTCTGTCCCTTATACAGTATAGGGAATGAAAGGAGAAGAGGAAAACAAAAACAGACTTAAGGCCTGAGATTTCCGGGTGGTCTTCATGGGAAAAGCTCAGCCCTGTCTGTGGAGGTAGTTTAATCAGAAGGGCAGTAGGCATGGATCCTGTATAATGCAGTTAACATCTGGGTTCAGAGGATGTGGGGAAGAGGCTGCCGTCATTTCATTAGATGCAGCTGTAACCAGAGCGGGAACTAGCCATTGATCTTAGGTAGTGGTCCAGAAGAATCGGCGCTCGGGAACTTCTTAGAAATGCTGAGTCTTGGATCCCACCTGAGACCTGTTGAATCAGAAACTCCAAGTTGAGCCCAGAAATCTGTTTTAATGAGCCTTCTGAGTGAGTCGCATGCACAGTGAAGTTTGAGAACCACTAGTGGAGGGTTGGTCCAAAGTTTATTCCCCACAAATGATCAAAATAAAGCCAGGATAACTGACTCAAGATGTTGTGTCCAGTGTGCTCTGTGCCTCTTGCTGCAATGTCTACTTCTCTCAAAAATGGCAATCAGGATCGCCATCTGTGTTCCATACATTCTCAACAACAATTGCCAAACAAATAAATCTACTCCAGAAACGAACCAACTTGTTCAAAATCAGGAAAAAAGCATGACCACTTCAGGTGAGCCAAAAATTTGGAACTTGAATTTGGATAGGTTGCTGTACGTAACCAAGGATCCATTCCCAGAGTGTCCCGTAGCTCCTTTTCAGAAGCCAGAGCAAGACACAGAGTTGGCTGATGTTCATGTTCAGCCTCTCAGTACTAGAAGCGTTTCCCTTTCCCTTTCCAGGTTTTTTCCTTTTGTTTGGAGCTCATTAGCTCATAGTTTTGTCCTTGTGGAATTGATAGCACATATGCTCACTGAATGAACAATGTTCTTGTTCTCTTTTAAAAATGACTTGCATGAATTGTTGCTCAACTCTTTTTTCCCCCCTTCTCCTTAACCTCTGTGTCTCATTCAAGTTTCTGATGGGAATCTACACAGCAGATGAATGAGGCTAAGGGAGCATCAATAGAGATGGGCCCTGGTAGGTTTCTGGAGAGGAGGAAAAGGGAGTCAGGCCTGAGGTAAGGGCCTTGCAAAACTGTAGACTTCTTGGCCATCTAGCCCGCCTTCCCAGTGCAGTGTTTATGTTCCTCAGAGGCACCTCCAGGCTTCAAGCTGAATAATGTCTTGCTGAGGTTGTTTGGAGTTGGAAAGCATCCTATCCCATTAAGCCCATTTAGAATAGCATTATAAAGAAGTATTTTCTGAGACTGACATCTCTGAAAGTTTCTCCAAGAACTGTCCTTGAAGTTTCATCCTGATGTGCTGCGTCTTGAGATTCTTGAGAGAAAATAGAGTTTGGTCTTTCTTCAAGTTAGATATTTCCTTAACAGTGCTACATAAGACAAGAGTTCCCAGCTGTTGGATATCTTGGCTTCCTTACTCTGTCTTAGTACAGTCCAGGTGTCCTTCCTAAGAAATGGCACCCAGAACTAAACACAGCCGAAGTTTGTTTTATATTGTGTGTGTTTGTTTCTGTGTGTTTTTTCTGACTTTACATTTTTTATCTTCCCTTGAACAGCTGCTATGAGCATGGATTCTTTCTTTCAAAAAAAATTTAACTGTTAAACTCATCTCTTAAATCACACATAGACACAAAGACAGATTAAAAGTATTAAAAAAAAAAAAAAACAACCCTAGGTCTGAATTCTAAGATTTTTTCCAAGCTGTAAAGTTCTAATGTAAGTTAAGTTCATTCTGATGTCTGAATGCATGAAATGACCCCCAGATCCTTTAGAAAGATTTAAAACTAAAAATTGGGGCTCAAAACAACAAACAGAACAGTCCTTAAGAGGGACCCTGTTCCTAGCACAAAGGGTCCTACTATAGTGCTTTGTTCACTGCCTTTTAAATAAGACATAAGAAAAACTGATCATAGTCCAATTTATTCTTGAAGATGAGCTATTATGCCAACTGACTATAGAGTATACTTTTCAAGGATTGATCCAAAAAAATGTATGGATCAGGTAGTTGGGAACATGAACATCAATACATTTTCCTTTAATGATGGTGATCATGTCTACATTTCTTGCTGGGAAGAATAATTTGTCTGGAGTTTTGCTATGTGAATACCCAAAGCAATAAACTCAGAGATGATACTATCCATGGATCTCTGATGCAAATGGGTTAAAGACAATTTCATACTTTGGAGCAGTCTGAGGTGAAACAGAACAGCTGTACACCATTAGCAGGAAATGATTTGTGTTTAGTGGCTTAGTTGCCACTTATTAGTAAACAATCTTGACCACAGTATTACTGTATTAAGTAGTATGGACGTACATGCACTACCACCAGTGATGCATACCTTCTGTCCCCTTCACAAAGTTCTAATAAAATCAGATTAAATATATCAAAGACGATTTGAAAAAAGAAAACATTAACACAGATACACAATTACTTTGCCAATGCCGTTTTGACCAACTGAAATAAAGATACTAGCTACAGGTCTGTGGTTCTCCTCTAATTCTAGCTTCTCTGCAGGCTGAGATCTGTGAATCCAAGTTAAAAGGCAGACTGGGCAGAGACTCTTGTCTCCAATTTATCAGCAAAAGCTAGAAATGGAGATGTAGTTCAATTGGTAGAGTGTCCGCTTTGAGAAAAAAAAAAAGGTACTGAAATTAAAGTAAAAAATTCTGGTGATGTGTCAACCAGGCAAAGCTTTGGTTTCCTTAGCTGCATCATGGAGTGTATGAAGAGATTTGTCTCCTAGGGTCTTTGTGAGTCCAAGTGAGCGTGTAAGTGTATATTAAAGCCCCAAGTCCCACATACTGTGATTTATTCAGATTTTTCTGATCTTTTTTTCCACTGCCAGGAGGAAATGTATCCCTTTTCCAGAGTTGCAGACAGGCTTATCATATTTCATTGAAGTCTCCTGTTTTAGATAAAATATTCACTTGTATTTTTCCCAAACATCCTAGAAAACTTGGTATGATAAACAAATGTGCTCTGGTTACACTGTGGCTTCAGAAATAGTCTGTCTTTTTTTGTGGTTTTGGGGTGTCAGTCCTGGGGCTTGAACTTAAGGCTTGGGCACTGTCCCTGAGTTTTGTGCTCAAGGCTAGCCCTCTACCGCTTGAACCACAGCTCAACATTCTGATTTTTGGTGGCTAATTGTAGATAAGAGTCTCATGGACTTTGCTGGCTTTGAGCCGTGATCCTCAGATCTCAGACTGTTGAGTAACTAGGATTACAGGTGGGGGCCACTGGTGCCTGGCTTGGAAATGCTCTCTTGATCACCCTGCTCTGTCGTTCCTAGCCCTTACCCTTCAAAATACAGCAATAGATGCTGAATCAGTTGCGTGCCTGCGTGCCTGCGTGCGTGCACGTGCATGTGCGTGTGTGCGCGTGCGTGCATGCATGTGTGTGAAATCCTCCAGATTTTCCCCTCCAGGGCTTTGAGCATGCTGCGAGTGCTCCTGGAACCTGGCCTCCTGCTCTGTGACCCTCTTGCCACTCACATGCGCCTCCTTCAGCTCTCTTTCACCAGGCCCACCGGCCTCCTCTCCAGGGCCTGCACTGGGTGTGTGGGGTCCTGTGTATTGAAGTCTTAGCTTGGCTTCTAGCTGGTCACGTTGGAAGCACATGAGGGTTTTATTCAGCACGCCTCTCCAGCCTGTTCTGTGAGTCAGGAAGTGGAAAGGCTCCGTGGAGCTGGGCTGTCTCCATCTTCTTCCTTTATGCACACTCCCTGGCTTTCCTCCAGT